ATACACACACACACACTAAAAATATACACTAATATGTAAAATATGGTATATACTTTCTTTTTGAGACAGAGACTCACTATGTAGTCCTACATAGAACTCTCTATGTAGACCAGGTTGGCCTGGATCCCCTGGAACTGGAGTTCAGACAGTTGTTAGCTACTATGTGGGTGCCGAGATTCAAACCTGGGTCTTCTGCAAGAACAACTGGTGTTCTTAACCACTGAGCCATTTCTCCAGCCCCCAATATTTTTTATTTTAAGTGTGTGTGTGTGTGTGTGTGTGTGAGAGAGAGAGAGAGAGAGAGATGTGTGATGTGTAGGAGCACGTGTGTCATGTGGAAGTCAATTCGCAGAGATCTGCCTGCCTCTGCCTCCCAAGTGCTGGGACTACCCGGCTCTGGCTTTAGTTTGATTTGGTGTGGTATGGTGTATTTTTTTCAGACAGGTTCTTGCTATGTAGCCTAGGGCTGGCCTCAAACTTGACATCCTCCTCCTTTAGTCTTCCTAGTGCTAGTATTAGAGGTATACAGTCTATACATAGCTACTATATAAAATTTTAATATGGGGCTGGAGAGATAGCTCAGCAGTTAAGGGCACTGGCTGCTCTTGCACAGAACCTGGGTTTGATTCCCAGCACCCACATGGCAGATAGCAACCATCTGTTCCAGGGGATCTGATGCCCTCTTCTGACTTTCACGGGCTTTGCACCACACAGGTGCACTTAACTACATGCATTTACATTCATACACACAAAAACATTTTTTAAAATATTTTAATCTTTAAAATGATTTATTTTTATTTATATAAGTGTTTTGATTGCTGGAATGTTTTGATTACTGGTATGTGTATAGTACCCACAAAGCCTGGAAGAGGTGACACAGCCACCATGTGGGTGCTGGGAAACGAACATACATCCTCTGAAAAAACAGTAAGTGGTTTTAACCCCTAAGCTACTCCTCCAGGCCCCAAGTACTTTAATCTTCTGGGAAAAAAATTTTTGTCCTAAATATAAGTATACTTTTTGTCAATGTGGATTTTTTTTTTTTGAGATAGGTCTGATGTAGTCCAAGCTGGTTTCAAACTTGTAATATAGCTGAGGATGCCCTTGAACTTTGAATGCTCCTGCCTCCATCTTCCAAGTATTGGGATTATTAGGAGTGAACCACCATGCCCACTTTTATGTAATGGTGGGCATTAAACCCAGGAGTTACATGCCTGCTAGACAAGCACTCTATCAAGTAAGCTACAGCCTCAGCTGTTATTTTGTGGCCTTTATCTCTACCAAACCCAGTGTTCTCAGGTCAGATTTTTATGCCTTAATACTACAAAGGATTTGCTTCTTTTGTCAATTTTCAGTCAGAAACGGTTTGCCACATAAAATTTTTGTTATAATCAGTTTAAATTTATGTCAGTAAAGCCGGGTGTGGTGGCGCACGCCTGTAGTCTCAGCACTTGGGAGGCAGAGGCAGTTGGATCTCTGTGAGTTCAAGGCCAGCCTGATCTACATAGTGAGTTCCAGGACAGCTGGGGCTACAAGGAAACCCTGTCTCAAAAAGACAAGAAAGAAAAAAGTAAGTTTATGTCAGTTATGTTTACCCCACCTACTTTTTCCTTGGTCAAACTTTACAGTTCAATGTCAATGATGTCAATGTCTGATGTTTCAAATCCAGC